AACTGAAGCAGTACTGGTTTGAAAAAACTGTTACCAATAACCACTTATTTGCAAGGAACAGAGATATGAATGAGAAGAGCTGTTGAACATTTCGGGGTATAGTTCCATACGAAACCTAAACGTGATGCAAAGTTTCCTTAAAGTTTCCAAGAGAGAGAGAGATGCTATCTATAGAGAAGAAAATTAACAGTAATGTCAGAGTAAAGGAAATACAAGAGGGTAAAGCAGGACAGGATGAACGACACCAGAGAAGATGAATTTGTACACCAATTCGAAACGATTTAAAAGGCTACCACGTGTATCCCAAGCTCTATATTGGTCATCTGTTGTTTTGTATAACTATCGCTATGCTATGTTGCCATTTCAGAAAGATCTTCAAAACTATTTCCAAATTATCTTCTGTTTCAGCTTTGATGATGATCAAAATGATACTTCTGAAATCACTGAGGTTTTTTTTATCAGATATTGATACAGAGATTTTTTTTCAAAGAGGCGTCCTTCTGACAACACAACTTGAGATTGCAAGCACATTATCGTCTTCAAAAAGTTTGCCTACCGACAAATGCAAGCAAATATCAGGGCCAAAAATTTTATCAGGTTTGTAAAATTTTTTAATTCATTGAACTTAAATAATTGAAAAGCTCAGGAAATAGCATGCAAATAAATAAGTGTATGTTTTTTAAGTAGAATACTTGTATTTATAACGAAATAAATAAAAAAAAACAATTTTTTAAAATCAATTGATTAATCAATGAAGAAAAGAGAAATAAAACTAACTTTCTATGTTTTTTACCACTTTTATTTGTAACTAACGTTACAAATAAAAGTGGTTCTACGTAAGAAATGCTAACCTCCGACATTGACCGCCAAATGAGATTTGAATGACAGTCCTGACTTAGCAAAAAGCTGGTCTTCGATGCACTTGGAGGGTTTCAAATTGGTGTTTGAATTCATCTTCTTATTCATTCTGACGTGCAAGCGTCTTATTGATAATACAGTTGATGTTTATGAAATATATTTTTCTTACATGATATGCAGCAAATGGTCAAAGATAAATCACCAAATGATAAAAACATAAATTGAAAATAATGAAACTATACAGTCAAAACCTCGTTATATAAGAGGTCATAACATATTTTTTTGTACACCTTTTATATGAATTATTCATGGAGGTATAAACTGTAATGGTGATATATCTTGTCAAGCTTAAATCTCTGCTACCACAATGATTGTTTATTTATGACGATATGTTTTCTTGCCAGTGCCGTATCAAGACCTGATATTGATTATTAATCTATTTTATTTATTATTCATTTTAAAAAACGAATTTGTGTAGTATAATTACATTTTTAACAAAAACAGAAATGAACCTTCAACAAAAAGCAATTCAATTTCAGTAACCTTGCTTCATCCAACTCAACGAGGTTGGAATTGCTTAATAAAGGTAGAGTTAGTTTACTAGCAAGTTAGTATATTGTTTTAACCAGTGGAGATGAACGATGTTGGATCTGAAATTACCCATACTATTTGAATGTTTGTAGTAGTTGGACAGTAACCTCAAACAATCTTCTATATCAAACTTCTGGATCTTCAAAAACGCCTGAAAGCATTATCGAAACGAAAGTGTAACGGAACGAAATTTGTGAAACGTATTTGACATTGAAACATTGAACGAAAGATGAATGTGATCTTTGAGGAAGAATGAATGAAATATTTTGATTCCAATGATACAATCGCCTCCAATTAGGCTGTGAAAATTGCTTCGATTTGCAAAAAACATACTCCTGGTGGGGTGTCTGGTGGACGAATGAATCAATACTTCGTGATTGATAATTCCTAATTATTGGAGTCGGTCGTTAGCTGGTCGGTTCGACGTGGTTCCTTTGTTCACTCACTCAAATCGACCGCCGTGTTGGTCGGTGGTTCACGCCCCAGGCTTGAATCACACGTTAAAAGGTAAGACTTCATTAGTCCTTAGCTTGCACAGGTTTAAACTTATGAGGGTTGTCGTTTGTAGGGGGCTATAGCTGGTTAAGGGAAAACAGATTTTTTTCAACAGATTGATCATTATTGATGATTTTATTTTTATTGAGCAATTTATGTTCATCACAACATATAAATCAAATCAATATCTCAGGATATATCAGTAATTGAAAACTTCTGCACGAGAAGGCAATTCAAAGAGAAAGAAAGGTTGCAACTGCGTTGATTTTGTTTAACGTAGTGAATTACTCCAGTTAATGTCGCATTTTTGTTATATATTTTCTGGGATAAAAAGGTATTAATCTGTTTCAAAATTCAAATTAATTTTGATGAACATAATTTTTCTGGGTAGATTATTACATTATGATTTTAAATTAAATCATACATTGATCACAGTCATCAGATTCATATATTTTCATTCTCAGGAAAGCAAGTGACGAAATAGCTGATAAGTGTACTGACAAATATATTTTATGAATATAAGTTCTTTGAATTATCCATGTTGATCAAAAGTGAAACAAAAACTTGTTCTCTTCACAGACTGGAATATTATGATAAGTAATTTTACTCTAGTGTACCGTAAACTGTCACAGAACTACAGGATGTATGAAGCAACTACCAATAATATTCCCGGTCAGAAAACCAAACCTGAGATAATAATATTTTATGACTGTTTGCGATAAGCCCCTTGCAGTAGTTCCAATAATAATTTCACGATTTTTCATCAAGATAGAATATTTCTCAGCACGCCTGTGCTTACACACCGTAGATGGAATTCCATTGTTCCATTACGCATTGAACACAATAACATAGGATTATTATATCGCAATACATAAAAGCTGATTTCTTCAGTGATGCGGGTCATGCAAATTTATTGCATAACTCAATTCACTTTTATGATGATACAAGCAATTACAATGCGAGAAATGTAGACCTAGAATGGTTTGAAGTTTGTCATTATCGAATCAATTTCAAATAGTTAAACTATAAACCAGTTGCCTTGCTATCAGTGATATCAAAAATCATGGAGAAAGCTGTAAACGACCAATTCCTCAAATATTTGGAAGTCTTCAACATCTTGAGCTCCCATCAATATGGTTTTCAGAAACAAAGATCAACAGGCGACCTTGTATCGTATGTCACACATATTTGGAATAACGCAATTGACAAAGATGGATAGTCAAGAGCTGTAGCGCTTGATATTTCTAATGCCTTTGGCCGTGTGTGGCCAAACTTCGAAGCTATGTCTTGTCGGATGATTTTTTTGTATGTTTCTCTAGCTTCCTGAAAAAACGTTTCCTGCAAGTGGCCGTCGACGCATATCTCTCGAATACTTTTACCATCAACGCTGGTGTTCCCCTGGGATCTATATTGTCTCCAACCCTCTTTCTATTGTATATCAACGACTTATTGGAAAAAATCAAGAATCCAATATATTACTTTGTTTCGTAATTGCATTTGGATTCAAAGACATCGGCGGCTGCACATCTTCACCGGTAGCAGGAGGTTACATATCTGAATGAGGATTCAAAGATAATTTCGAATTGGGGTGAAAATAATCAGGTTCAATTCAATACCACAATAACTTCTTTCTCCAAGAAGATAAATTTCTCCGAAACGGATATAATAATGTCAGGTAAGGCAATTCCACCTTCTGCTTTGATAAGTTTGTAGGGGGTCAAAATGGACACCAATGTGTCTTGGCACAATCATGTCGCTGGAATTGCACACACAGTTGCGAGTGAGAAGTTGATGAGTAAACATCAAAGTTATAGAACAGTGACAATTTCAGCATTTAGACACGCTATCGCCTAAAAAGTATTTTAGGACGATAAGCAATTATGGAAGAACTATTGAATAGAATTCACCACTTCCGTAGGAACTACTCCAGAGACGCGGTTCTCGCGATGATGGCGGCAATATTAGACCGATACGACGTTTCCAGCATGGAGCTGCCAAAATCGTACAAATATTTTGAAAAAGTAATGGAGCAAAATATACTAAACCGCAAACCGAAATATTACCGGCTCTTCGAAGCTCTGCCAAGCTACGTAGAGGAAAGATACGACACAGATTTCGACGACCTCCCCTCGGAAGAAGAAGAAATCCAAGGTGAAAATATGCCACAAAAACGAGCGGCCACACCTGAGCCCCACGTTGAAAAAACAAAAATCCCGGCTACTGAAAAAGTACAAACTCAGCAGCCGAAAAAGAAAAAGACGAAAAGTGAACGAACAAAACCTGGAAATTCCGATGACGTCACGACCAGTACGTCACAGGTACAGGATAAGCCGGAAGTGTCTAATCCGAAGACAATACAGGTAGCTCAAAAGGATAATCCCACAACAAACACTGTAAACACACCCGAACAGATGGATTTGGATGAAGAACAAAAGGTCGATGAAACCCCGGTAACAAACCAGGGGGAAACAAAAGCAAAGAATGAAAAACCTCCGCCTATTACCATACGAGCGAAGGACAAATCGAAAAATTTCAACACGATAACCGCCGCGCAGAATATCGAAATATCTCGGGCGGTGAACACAAATGACGGGATAAAGGTTCACTTCAAATCCATAGAGGATTACAGGAAGGTAACAAAATCCCTAGATAAAGAAAAGATACCTTACCACACATATGCGGTACAAGCCGAGAAACCGTTGAGAGTCGTTTTCCGGGGAGTCCCAGAAGCCCTGGAAATAGATGACATTAAAAAAGAATTGCAAGGGAAAGGATTCGAAATCATTTCCATCGCTCGTATGAGTAAAACAAACAAAAAGCCCATCCCCTTCGTATTAGTCCTGGTCCCCAGAAACCAGGCTAACATATACGACATTAAGGAAATACAAAAAGTCCGCGTTACCGCAGAAACATAAAGGCCACGAAATAGAGTAGGACAATGCTACAGGTGCCAAAAGTTCGGGCACACACAGCGGAACTGCAAAGCAGTCCCGGCCTGTGTAAAGTGCGCCGGACGGCACTTGACAAATGAGTGCAAAAGACCGAAAAACTCCCTGATGCGGTGCTTTAACTGTAAAGGAGAACATCCAGCTAGTTTCCACGGGTGCCCGGAACGCCCCGAAAATAAGAAAAAGGCCCCAGATGGGCCTACAGACGAAAGACAGCCCCCAAACCCGAGGACAGTCAACCAAAACAGAGTCAGAAGCGGAACCTCATACGCGAGAGCCGCATCAACTAGAGAAAATTCCTGCAACTCTCCCGAAGGTCTCCCAACGGCCTTAGGGCAGCTGCAGGAAATTCTCACGAAGTTTCCGGTTTTACAAGCTATGCTCGCCGGAAATAAATAGAAAGAACATGTCTTAACGACAAAAAAAGGACAACAGAAGACGCTGCGACTTCTGACAGTTAGCTACAAGCTACAAGAAGGTGACAGTGACTTGTCTCTATCACCCTAACATAAGAAACATAAAACAGACTAAAGAACAAATAGTTGAAAGGGTAGGGGGCCTTTGGTTCGGATACCTGACTTATCAAAGACAATGCAGGGCTGGAATTGCAAAGTCTGCTTCTTAACAGCTTGGAACACTGTTTCGGAGCAGAAAACTGTACACACCTCAGAAACATTTGATGTTTTATAAAGCTCAGATTAGACTTTCTTTGGAGTATTATTCTCATATATGGAGTTCCGCCCCTAAGTATACACTGAAGCTGTTGGATTTCATCCAGAAAAAAGCCATTCCACTGATTGAAGAAGCCAACAGCTCTTGCAACTGTGGATGTCTGGAACATCGAAGGCAGTTTGGAAATTCGTCTCTCTTCTCAGGTCAACTCAGTACACATCGAACTTCGCTGTACAAGAACTCTCCCATATGGAAAACTGCGTTTACGTGAAATAAACTTCCTGAGAACGTTTTTCCAAATAGATTGAATCGCCAGCGATTCAAATCCATTGTGAATCACTACTTTCGCAAAGGCACTGCTCTTAGATTGCCTTAAGGAATTTCCTGAAGTGTCTTTTCCTTAAAAAATCATTCAACCCAAGATAACAAAATTCAAATTGTTTTCAGAATGAATCCGATATCAAAACATGGGAAAACTTCGTCAGGAATTGAGCAGTAGACAAGCTGGAGAAACAAATCTTACTATCAGGTTCATGAATAGTTTTCCTTGCATTACTACTGTCCAAATTCCAAGAATAATTAGTTTTTGTAAAAATGCGAAAGCTACTCATTTTGAAAACCTTATCCATACAAAAAGCAAAAAACAGTTTTTCAAATACCTATGTTAGAGGGGCTCTCGAAAGAAATAACAGCAATGAAGTAGTGAATAATCCTGCTAAGAATGAAAATTGTTAGCATTGCTGGTCCCGATAACATTCCACCTTATTTTATGAAGCAATGCCAGTCAACAGTCGCTCCTGTTTTTGGCACAATCAATGAATGCATCCCTAAATGAGGAAAAATTCACCCTAGCATAAAAATACTTCACGATAATACCTTTTTTAAAATTTTTTAATTTTTAAACAAGTAAGATCCTTCAGACTATCCTGAAATAAGCTTAAAGTGCCTTCCCCGCTAATGCATATAGAGAATAACTTACTACTTTTTCCTTAGAGGCTGCAGTATTCAAAAGCTAGCAACATAGATATCTCCGAGGTCGCTGTGTCAGCCATTGGTCGACAGAACTTGACTTGAATCGTCCTGTCGAAGTTATCTATATTGACTTAAAAAAGCAGTTGAACGAGTCCCGCATGAATCACTACTATATAATTTAGAGCATTTTGGTGTCACTAGCCCCCTGTTACGATAAAATCGAGATTTTTTATCAAATAGATATTGCAGTGTTCGAAGGATGAGTAATTGTCGAAACCATACCAAGCAGTAAGTTATCAATATTTCCCTTTTTTGCCGATGATACAAAATTATATGTAAACCCAAACTTGAATAAAAATGAAATGGCCAATGACCTTGGTTCTGATAACCCAGAAGGGCCTTCCATTGAAGCCTGTGAAGCATCAAACATATCTTGGTTTTATAAGCCATTATTTAAAAGGGAAAACACACATTGGAAAAATTATAAAAAGTCAAGCGTATATCTTGCATGAGAAGATATGACATGGTCGTGTATGGGCTTGATCAAACCCAAAGGTGTATCACCAAGTTGTCCCCGCAAATCTGTGACCTACCATGCGATTACCGCCTTGAATTATATCAATCAACTTCTCTATCCGATCGTTGATTACGAGGTGATCTTATTTAAATATTAAAAATCCTACACGGATACTTTTCAGTGAATTTGGACGGCAGACATACATATCCAATTAAACTGTCACTACACGATTAAGTATTTTTTTGCTTTCACGTGCTATGACGACGTGGGATTCTATTTCTTTGGCGATAAGAACAGCCGCTACACGTCCACCCACCTTGGCGAGAAAACAGAAATAGTCTACAAAATTGGTTTTGGAACTTGACACCAGCTAGTTTTTCAAATCATTCAGGAAACGAACGGAATAACGATAATTGTCAATTTTTGTAGATCTTTTTTTTAAAGAAAAAGAATCGCTTTCTTCAGTACACTGGCAAAATATCCAACCAATGATCCAATTATTCAATAGATGTGTTATTGGTTTAATTATCGTATTTATAATGTTTCTTGAAGAAATTCTGCACATTTCTTGCCCTTCATTTTGGAGAAGGTGGTACTCCATTCATTCACAGCATACAGTATTATCTGTTCTTGTATATGCATTGGTTCATATCAAACCGGCAAATCGACAGATTCAGCATTAAATAACCTTGTAGAAAAAATTTCCCAATCCCTTGACCAGAAGAAGATTGCGGTTGCTGTATTGATTGATACTGAAGGAGCATTTGACAATGCACTACCTATATGTATAGGATCATCTCTGGCTAGGAAAGGTATAGAATCGACCATAACTGACTGGATCTATGCCATGCTGGTTAACAGAAATATAATTACGACTCTTCAAGAAGATACCATTAGGTTCAGGGTCAGCAGGGGCTGTCCTCAAGGTGGAGTACTATTTTCCTTTCTGTGATCACTCCTGATGAAAAATCTGCTTGATGCCCTCGTTAGGACAGAAGTAGATGTGCAAGCTTATGCAGATGATCTCATCATCTTGGCAAGTTCCACGTCGGGAAGGTAGCGTGTAATATCCTCCAGAGGACGATGAATTTGGTTCACAGTTGGTGCCAGAGGGAGCAGATGTCTGTCAACTAGATCAAAACTGTGATAATCCCCTTCACCAGGAGGAGGAAGTTGGACGAAATAACGCCACTTTCCCTCGATGGTGAGGGTCATTCCATACGGAAAAGAGGTGAAATATTTTGGCATTGTCCTTGAAAAAAAAACTTGAAACGTCACTTGGGAAAAGTTTTACACACATTCAGACTGTCCCTAGGAACATGTCGAAAGATTTCTAGTAAAACTTGGGGTTCAGGTCCCAAACAAATCCATCGGATATATGTGATTATTCTGACTTCCTTGCGAAGGAGGGTGCTGCAGCAGCTTCATCGGATCAGAACCTGTCATTGGCATCGCTTTAGGCTTTGCCAAACAAAGATTGAACACCTGGATGGTAAGAAGATGTATGGACTTCTGGCAGAATCTTCCAGGATTGGCTCACTTCAAGGCGTTTATTCACCCTTCGAAGCTTGATATCAAAGAATTGTTGGACTACAGTAGGGATCAACTACGATGTCTAAGCATCCTTCTTACAGGTCACTGTCGTCTGAATCATTATATGCAGAGACTTGGAATGTCGCCTTTGTTTGGAAAATTATGAAACGTATATTTTGTGCCTGCCCTGAGGCGAATCGATTCAGGTTTTCAGAGTTTGGTAGAATCACACTTCTATTATCTGACCCGAAAGATCATTCATCATATAAACTTAACGGCTCCGTCGAGAAGCTTGGTTCATTTGGTGGAGTTTGAATAGGTGTTAGCCACTATAAATCCTTGCGGGTTGAAGTGAAAGCACGAATAAGCCCACTCACTTTTGACCTAACCTAACCTATATGCGTTGATTCAGGACCCGGCCTGTTTACGGTGATGTTAATTTGATTGAAAAATTTTTGTGTGAAAACCTTCAATTATTCTTTTTGTGAAATGTTTACAAGAGATAATTCTCTCAGATTTTATTGTTTATTTTGTTAATCTGTTTGAAATGTTGTCCACAAGCATGAAACATATTCTCTGGAGATTGTCCAAGACTTCAAATAGTCATATTTCCATTCTGCTCCTATTACCATTACTTTTATTATTCCAATTGTTGAATGGTGATAGTCATCTTTTCAAATACTCAACGTAACTAGAAGATAACATCAAGGAAGTAACTGCCTGATAGGAAGAGTTTCACTCTCAAACCGCGTCTAAAATTTAAGTGAGTGGCAAAAGATGCCTTGGATTATACGCATTCCAAACTAACTCGAAGCGAAGATACATGATTCACACAGTAACCCACTGAAGAAGAAAGTAAAAGTGGACGGTTACATGCTGAGAATAAATAACGTTCATCGACAATGTCGTTTAGAGATTGACGAGAACGAGTATGCAAAGTTTCTTGTGGAAACTAATGGGATTATTTTGTTAGAATGTTGGAGGAATCGTGAGTTTCTTCAGTTGAAAGTACTATGTTTAACGGTGAAAGAATCCCGTTTAGTTACAGGGAAAAAATTAATACCCAAAAAATAGCAGTGAAAACTTCCTTACTCAACCTTTGCATTTTGGAAAGGTAATAAAACAAAAAATAATAATGATTTCAAAAATAATATGATAAGGTGAACCGTAAACAACTACATTACTGAGAAAAATAGAATAAAATAAACAAAGCAACACGAAAGAAACTTCAAAAGAGTTGTGTGTTATTGTTGTGTGTGGTATAGCCAGCCTATTGAAAATTGAACTGAATTGATTCAATTCATTCTTGGTGATGTGAACATAAAGCGAAGTATAATATTGAATCAACTCTTGCATGGACAGTTGAATAGAGGAAAGTAAAAAAGAAAATAGACAAATAACATTGTGCAGAAAAATGTAAGCTGTCAATTCTGAAAATAAGTGGCAAGTTATTAGGCAAGTGTAGTGTTGTTTCAATTTTACTAGTCAATAGTTTCAAAGAATATATCATCATTACAGTTTTCAATCTGTTTTTGAATCTATTTTTATTTTCATGAAATGTTTTTGCATTACGTTCAAACTGTTCAAGTGTTTATCGTTCACACCGTTTATATAAGAATATT